ATATCTTTTTGAATTAGTTTCCTCTGGATATGTGCCCAGGAGTGGGATTGCTGGATCATATGATAAGTCTTTCAGTTTTTTTAAGGAATCCTCCATACTGTTTTCCATAGTGGCTGCACCAAACTACATACCCACCAATAGCATAGGAGGGTTCCCTCTTCTCCCTCTCCAAGGCTAGAATTTTACACCCTCAAGGATGATCCTCTCCCAAAGGAACACAGAAAACTAAGCATTCAAAGCCTTGAAAGTCTACACTTGTCTGGTGTGAATCACTACTTAACTAAGTGTGCAAGAAAGCAGCTTTGTATAAATGGGCCGGGGGTGGTGGTGGAAAGGACTGGCCAGGTTAAATAACTTTATTTTTAACCCCAGGGTGGGCAGGTGAAATGTATTAATTCCATCTGCAGTTTTTTTGTATTTTAAATTTTTGTTGGTTTTTGAGGGGTTGGTGGTTTTTTGGTTTCAATTTGGCTTGCTTTTTGGCAAATCTTTCTCTTTCATTCCACAAAGTGAGAATGGCAGGGTGTAGAGGATAGACCCTTTCGATCTTGGTTTCCAAAGTCACTTGTGACTCACTTGGCGGCAGCTGATCAGCAAAAGCTCCTCTCTTCCCTTCTGAGAAAGGTGAGTACTGGAATTTTTAAATGTTTACACACAGAGAACATCAGGGCTCTTGGTAAACTTCAGAAGTTGGGGTTTTGGCTTTGTGTTTGGGAGGGAGTTCCTTTAACCAGGAGAGTTGGTTTTTATCTTTCTAAACAAGGGGGCTCACCTTGCACGCACCTGTCTTCAGCAGCACAGAGCTACTGGTTTGCCTGGCGTGTGTACCCTCCCCTCACTTAGCCACCCTGTGTGGACCCATGTGGACCCTGTGTTTCCTCTTCTCTGAAATGGAGTTCTAGGGGGCTCTGCTCCAGGGGGCTTTTTGATTTTCAAGTGCAATGAAATTTGCTGAGGTTCTGGTAATTCCATAGTGTGCTGTCATCTTGCCGGAAGTTAGAATCCTTGAATTATTACTCTTGCAAGTGGGGAGGTGACAGCTTAAATTCAAATCTTTTACTCACAACTACAAATGGTGTCTACAGATTCTTTCAGAATAGCTAACATGTCACATGTTTTTTTTTTTTCTCGCATGTGTGATCTCTAGAGTGTTCCAAATCAGTGATTTTTAGGTAAAATCGAGCCTGTCATCGAATGCCTTATCAATAAAAGTCCCTTATCTGAGAACACAAGGGCAGCCACCGAAATCGAGAAACTTGGCTGTCAGCCTTCAGAAATGTCCAAACCTCGTTGCCTTCCTTCCAGATACACTTTCTGTGGGAGAGTTTGTGCTGGGGAAGGGTGTGTGCTTCAGGGAAGATAATTCACGTGTAGGGTGTGGGTGAGGCTGGGAACATGTTCCTGTCCCTGGTGTCATGCCTGTGTCACCCTTGTGCCACCCACCACTCCAGCCTGCATTTCAAATTTTTGTTCTTTTGCAAGTTAAGGCGATCCAAGCAGAGACATGGTAGGTTGGGGTGGGGAGATAGTTAGGAAGCCAATAGTGGGGATGGGCAGTGTTTAAGATCTGTTGCAAGGTATTTCAAGACAAAAATGAAGTTATTACTCCGTTTCTTTATAGACAGCCTCAGAACTACTGGAGGTGCTGATGTTTTAAAGCAAGATGTTTCTGTGCCCCACCCCAAAGCTGGTACTATGCCCTGAGAATCCACTGCTTTAACGAGCACCCCATGGTTTTTCAAATACTAACGGCAAATCTTAGAGCCCTCCAGAGTATTTCAGAGACTGAAGAGGTATACATCCATGTGCAGTTGTACCCCACTCTTTTTAATTTAGAGTTGTCTTTCAAAAACATTTTATTTATTATTGTATTAGTTATTTTATTTGGGGGAAGGCAAGTAGGTTTATTTATTTTTCGAGGAGGTGCTGGGGATTGCACGCCAAGCATGCACTCTACCACTTGGGCTATACGTGTATCTCCTGCCGTACCCCTCTTAAAAATTTTTTTTAGACAAGTTACTTCCATATTGAGAGTAATGGCTAACCTGTAAAGAGTCTCCTTGACCTGCCTCATTTAATCCTGGAAAGGATAATTCCACATACAGTGTGACCCTGCGCCTCTGACCATGGCTAATTGGATCTTAGACCTCTGACACAAGGCTGTTGGTCAATTTGACATTCCTAAAAATTTTAAATAAACAAAGGAATTCCAGTTAGTGATGAGGACTCAGAAATCAGGGGACTAAGCTCACCATTGGGCCTTGTGTCAGGGATAGGGAGAGACTGCAGAGAAAGCAGGAGAATGGAGCAGAGAGCAGCAGAGGGGAGAGGCCATGTGGCCTCTGGGAGATGGAGAACGTAAATTCAGTAATCTCCTTGATTCTTGTTAGCTGCTGAATGCCTCATCGGTCCCTCTTCCCTCAGGAAGGAACTACTTTTGTTCACATAAGTTCTGCACTCGTGCTCATCTCTACAATGGGATAAGGGGGAAATTTATAGTACTCAGTGCCTCTTAGAAAAGATAAAAGGACTCAAATGTGACCTCAGCCTCCACTTACAGACATAAGAAAAAGAATAGCAAACCCAAAGCAAGCAGAGGAAAGGAAGTGACAAAGAGTGATTATTAATGAAGTAGAAAACAGGGACACAATCAGTGAGACCCAAACTGGGATCTTCGAGAGTGTTGACAGAATTGATAACGCCTCTAACCAGACTGATCAGGCAAGAAAGAGAAGATGCAGATGATCAGGAACAGGACAGGTGGCATCACTACAGGTTCTACCAAAATACTTGATATGTTCATATTTGGGGGCCTCATGTTGCACTAAGTTTCCTTAAAAATACTGTTATTTTGTGCAAAAAAAAATATGGTGAGTTCTATACATTCCTAATTCTGCCCAGTTCTGAAGTTTGCCAGATGACAAGCGCTCATGTTGCTGCTGCCACCAACTTTGTGCTTCCCTCAGAAATTTAGTTTACAGTTGTCTACAGTATAGGACTTCAATGCATATGGTCAATAACATTCTAACTTAATTTGTCTTCCTTTTAGTCTTTCACTTCTATTAGTTTGTTCTGTTCTTTGCACAAAAAGAAACTTGAGTAGAACACTGAGTGTTTTGACTTCTTTCACATAACATCCTCAGGTAATTTATAAATATTAGGTTCTGGGTAGATTGTGGTGAGAACGCTATGGTCTTGTCTCCATGGAAACCAGACTCCGTGTGTGTAATGCATACTGGTAAGTGTCATGAAGATAAAGTGCAGAGTGCTATGAGAGTTTATTACTGAGGCGGTTAGAGAAGGCTTCCTGGAGGCAGTGATTTAGAGCTAAGATCTTGAGGGTGAGTAGAAGTTACCTGACATAATTCATGATTTACATGAAAATTTTCTACGTAATGGCCACTGGTTACTCACATCTGTTCTTTGGCAGCATTTTAAACTGGTATCACTTTTGCTGTTTTTTTCTCTTATGAGGAAAGAACTGTAACCAAGGCTAGATAATTTTCCCTTGTTACAGTAAGAGTTCGACTTTGGGAGGAGCAGTTAAAATTTACAATGGCAAATGCTCTGGATCAAACAATTTTTCTCCCCTGTGAAGTGCAGAGGCATCACCTGTTTGCTTACCTCACAGGGTTCACGTGAGGAGCAAATAAGATGTGGAGGTGAAGATCCTCTGTATGCTGTAACGCCTGGTACAGTGTGAGGTGGTGGTGGTTTCCAGAGTCTCCTTCCTAGAGTGGTGCGTTACTACCCCGCCAAGATGTTTACCTGTCATGCTGACACTAAACTTCATCTGAAGCATCACCTAGGATGTAATTTTCCAAGCAGGACAAACAAACTGTAAAAACTCACACTTAGGGAAGGAAATGGAATTATAGGCAAAACACTCAAGATTCTAGGGCAGTTACTAGACCAGGAAATCGGCATTCAGTGCCATCCCTTGTGCGTCCTGTAAATTCAGCAGCCAGTACTAGATGTCTCTGCACAGTGCTTTCAGCTTGGGGCCTGTGGGCTCTCTGTTCTGGCCACAAGAGACTTCAGTGTACACTTAGGACCAGACCCATGGCTAGTGGAGAAAGATGAAACACTAAATCAGGAGGTTGTCTGCTGCTACAGGGCAGGATGTAGTCTCGGGGGGAACAGGTGGGATGTAAGCTAGATAAGTGGAACTAGCAGAATCTGTCCCTTGCTGTGAGGGCCTGTGCAAATACACTTTCTCTCTCCTCGGTGGCTGGATATTTTGATAAACACAAATTATCTGTTTTCCTGACTGTAATCTGGAAACCTCATGGCCGTCCGCGAACAAATTTTTCTACTTGGTCTTCAGAACTTAGAAGGGGGCAAACTACTAGGTCTGGGGTTGGCAAATTATGGCTTAAAAAAAAAAGTTGCTGGAACAAAGGCATACATATTCCTTTACATATTGTCTATGGCTACTTTTGTACTGTGACAGCAGGTTTTAGTAGTTGTGCCAGAGACCACATGGCCTGCAAACCTCAAATATTAACTATCCCCTTAAGAAAGTTTGTCAACTCAGTATGAATTCATTTCTCATTTAGGGCAGTGGATCGCATGAGTGGTCATCTAGGAAAGGCACCTTTGCAGGTGAGCTTACCTAATCTAATTTAAAGCTGGCTAAGGTAAGATTTTTTTTTTTTCTCCAAACTGTAAACGTAAAATATTTATCAGGAAGGATTTTCTTCGTGGTGCTCATTCAGGGATCAGCAGGGACCATGTGTACAGGAGCTTTCCAGACAGACACTGTGGTACCCAATGAGCAAATGGCCCGAGATCTGCAGTGCTAGTGAATGATTAAAACATTAAACAGTATAAAGGGGAAAAAACAAAAAAGCATCTCGTCAGAATTTTACTACTTGTGGACTAAAACAAAGGACACATTCCCACGAGAACAGAAATAAATTTTAATTCATTGAAAAGTGCAGCAGTGAACAGGGTCCTTTGAAGGGCACTTTCTAAGTCAATGAGTGAGATGACACAGAGCCAGGGCAGAATCGCTTCTCGGAACAGATGATGCGACCACAGGAATTCACAACACTCAGTGGGACCTAAGTGGTGATGAAACTAAAGATCCAGATATTCCCACCTAGTTCCACTGGTAGATCAGTTTAAATACCCTCTGCTTGCTCTTAGTAAGGATCCTGGGACAATATATCTTCTTTTGTTAAAACTATTCCTTACACACTTAAACTTAAGAACGGTTCTCACAGATTAAGGTATAATCTTCCATGGCTATCATGACTATTTTGTACAAAAACCCTAGTATAGTCAATTAAAATGTATTTTGCAACAGCACCATTGGTCAAATTCAAAGATGCTCAAAGGCATTCCCTACTTTGTAATTGTAGGAAATGTAACTATTTGAGAGAGCTTTTGACAGGAGATCTTAATAAGGCAAAAATCTCTATTCATCCCCAAGGCCTCTGTTCATTCCTAATGGTTACAATTTTTCTATTCTGAAGGGCACCAACAGATAGGGACTCTGTCTCAAAAGGGAGACTAATCAAAATTCTAATCAGTACACAAGAGAAAAACAAGGCATGCCTCCTGCAGCAGTGGGGTCCTTGTACATATCATTCTGAGAAATTCAGTGCATTTTGTGGGCTGCTAGTCTATAAACTGAGGCCTCTTTATGAAAGATGAGTTTAGCCTAGATCCAGAATGAAACCAGTCCAAGAGAAAAAGTCAAATTAGGGCTCATTCAAAAATTAGAGGTACAAAAAGAGGGCTTCACTGCATCCCGCACCCAAACAGAAGCCAGCTGCAGGTAAGCAGTGTGACTGGAATCTGCTGGCAGCTCATCTGTGTCACTCTTATGACTCGACTCCATCTCTTTTCAGGAACTAGCATAAAACAACAATATGACATCACAGTACGAGACCTGGTAAGAGTTTTTCTTTTTATTCAGGAACAGCTATGGTCAACTTTCATTAATGTGGAAGCTGACTGATTACTGTTAAGAATCAAAGTGTAGAAATAATGCCGATCCCCATATTCAACACTGCAGTTTGCTTTTAGTTACAAAATTGTTAGAATGTCTTTTCCTAAAACGTTCACAGCAGAGGTATTCATTTCACTTGCCCATTTGACCTCTAAATACCACCACAGTTACTGGGACTGTGAGGTAAAGGCATAAACCCAATGGCTATTAACCCAACGTGGCAATTTGGAATTCTGAAGAAAAGTGACCTATGGCCATGTCTTACAAAGTGCTTAAAGCTCAACCTGGGACCTTAAATAAAGCTAAAATCGCTATTGCCTGAGTTGAACAGGTTACAAAGCGCAGTTCTTCCTCCTCTCCTACAGTTAGCCTTCTTGTGAAGAAAACAGTGGAAATGGCCTTGGTCTTTGAGCCCAGAAACAAAAATGCAGTTCTATGCAGGAAACCTCAAGAAGATCTGGTTTTGACAGAGGAGTAGTGAATGAGGCCCCAATCACACAAGAAACTCAGGAAGAAGTTATCTTAAAGGGAAGAAGGTAAGTAGCTGGTACTTCGCATCAACTCTAAGAAATTTTTTACCTTTTAACAAGTGAAAAGAACGTTTGCAAAATGGAGAGAAAGTCTGCCAGCTTCACCCGTGGGACTGAAACCCAGGGTCCCTGCTGGGCAGGCACTTAGTCTAGCCCAGTTTACAGCCCTTCCACCTGTCACCCCGAGAGCCCTACCTACAGAAGGCCCTCAAAAAACATCCTTCACCAACCCTTGAAGTTCTCTGCTGAAGTACTTCACCCACTTTAGTCCAGGAGAGACACTCCCTAGCTACCCCTGGTGCTAACTGACACTCCATGTGGTTAGCAGCCACCGCAAAGCAGAGGTCCGTCACTTTCAGTAACTACCTGGAATCAGCCTTTACCAAAAGCTTCCCACTGTCCTGCTTCATTGCAGCACCAGCCCAGAATTCCTAAAAAAATGAACAGAGCTTGGTTGATGTGTTTTGAATTTCTGACCTTATCACATTGTGATGGATATTATGAAGTGTATTTCTACTCAAAATGATGGTACTTAGTTCTGCTCTGGTGGTTAGTCTTCAAGCCATATGATATCTGTATTTTTGATAGTGAAGTGCTCAATCTGGAATGTGATGCAAGTCCTTTGAATTCAGGTCAAGCTGTTTACCAAAACATCCCCCCACCCCCACCCCAAGCATTGCTATGTATCTGAATGGGTTTACAGATTCAGACTTTGACCACATGGGGAATATAATCAGGAACTGTGGCCCCAGGACAGAAAGGGTTTGGTGAGAACAAAGACCCCGGGAGTATTGTCATCAGCTGAATGAAGGGACCAGGGACAGCCACTCCTGAGACACGGGCAGAGTTCACAGTTTAACACATTGCACAAGGACGTCAGCTGATTGGGTTGCTTTTTTGAACAGGACTTGAAGCCAGCCCAGGAACCCTTCCAGGTGTGGTCTTGAGGACTAGCTACAGACACCTACTACAATCACTTCATCAGAAAGAGGCGTGCGGGGATCCAACCGCCGAGGTGCTACAGAAGATGTTTTGAAAACCTTCGAGTCCTGACACTGCCATGATGGTTGAACATGAGACGAGGGTCAAACCTGTATCTGGGGACAGTGGCAAAAAAAAGGTATCGCATTAACTATCATTAGCCCTTGAGTATTCAGTCAGAATATACACTGGAAAGGATGGCAGGAAGGGATGCAGCAGGAACAATTAAATCACCAGAAGGGAATCTAGTACAAAGCACAGTACGTAGTAAGTAAGAGCATTTCCGTCACAAGGCAGCGAGCACAAAGTAACACAGTAAAAGTGAGAGGAGAACAAACAGAAGGTGTTGCGAGGAGGCAACGTCTCAGCCTTTTGGTGGGGGGAGCGATCCCTAGAGTATGGAGCGGCCTAGGCCTTGCTGGGAGCCCCGCCAGCACTGTTAAAGCCCTGCCGTCTTTCACATCTGGACACACAGCCTGGGAGGTGAGTGCATCTCCGACAAGAGCTTGAACCTGGCTCATGAATTGAGGGGAGTCACCGACCTCTCTGGCCACCAGTGAAACAGAGGGGCAATTCACATAAAGTGTCTGGCACATGAAATCACTTCACCACTTGAAAGGAAGTTCGAGTCAATGCCCAATAGTGGCTGGAGGTGAGACCTGGCAGACACAAAGAACACACACTGGCTGCAGCTTTCACGTCTGCAGTCTGGAAATAACACTGTCTTTTAGTTTTATCTGCTATCCTGTAGGACAGACTAACTCTTGGCATTATTTTAGAGCAGGGGTCGGCCAACTTTTTTTTAAAGGGGCCCAGTGATAAATATTTTAGGGTTTGTGGGCCACAGTCTCTGTCCCAACCACTCAACTTTGCTGCTCAAGTGCAAGAGCAGCCCCAGGCAACACGGAAGTGAACGTGTATGTTGCGCCCTGACAGGTAGTGGCGGGAGTGGGCCCCCATTCTAGAAGGGTCTATAGGCCTAAACGTTTGGTAGGAGAGAATAAGCTATGGCTAAGGCATTTAAAAGGAAATAAGGTAGAGTTTAAACAGCTCAGGCTAACATGAGTAAAGCCAGCCTCTGACCAGCTTCCAGAATGTGAGCAACACAGCTATAGTTTAAAGAACAAAGCTTGCCCGGAAGTCAGAGCTTCTGTGTCAGTTCCTAACAGGTTGACCCATGCGCCAATTCCAATGCCAAGCTCTATTTCCTCATTGGAAACGTACCTGTTTGGGCTCTAAGGGCCGCATGAGAACTCTAAGGTGGAGTCCTCCTAACACTGAAGGGGGCCGCGGCATCTGCCCTGCTCTGGCCCAACATCACCGTCCACGATGTCCAAGTCTCATGACCTTCCATGCAAGATTTAGAGGTTGGCCTGAAGTTCCAAGAGGCAGCCAGAGACCTGCTTTAGACATCTAACTTTTTCAGTTTCATAAAACATTCTGAGCAAAGCGGCTGCTGCAAAATCAGCACGTGCCGACTAGAGGTCTTGAGCTTTTTACCTTACAGAAAAAGCTTCCTAGTTCAAGGAACTGGCACCAAGGGAGGGTCCATTTCACTAACTTGGAGGAAAGATCAAAGCTGGGTGGTTAGGATGCTTGATCACTGACTAATTATGCATTATCAGGATCATCCCCTGTAAAAGTTAGCTTAAGTGATAAATAAAATGATGATAAACTAAGTAACAATACAAAGACAACATTCAAGTTGCTGGCCTCCGTGTCTTTTTGGCTTGTATACACTACGTGAAAGCAACAGTGCTCCCTTTGATAAATAGCCTACAACCCAGTTTCTCTACTCGTTCACCATATATTCTCTAATTCGGACTGAAGATACACCACCTCACACAAAGGTGGCTAAGTAATCAACTTACTACTTTCCATCAGCTTAGGACATCGTTCTTCCTCTCCTAAAATCAGTATAAGAACTGAAA